CCAACTCAAAAAAAAAAAAAGAAAAAAGAAAAAAAGGGAGGGAAGGAGGGAAGGAGAAAAAAAAAAGTTGTATCCTATAGGCGAGATGATGGTAAAATCAAGCAACTGAAGTGGGAGTCAGAAATAACTGTGTAACCTTTCAGTATTCTTTAGAGTTTTTGGTTGTACTTTCCTTGTAATTGGTCAAATTCATCTCTTTGGAAACAATGATTTTTTAAAGTAAAAACAAAGTGAACAATAATGTGTTAGACGCATCATTCATTTACTAATGGGTATGAGTATTATAATCAGTATGAATGTGCCTTCAGTGGGACTGTTGTGGGTCACCCTCCAGGATGATAAATGTAAGAATGCCAAAACTTACAATATCCTAATTCTCCCAGAAAACAGTCCTGGAGTCAGCACCTTTAGCCTTTTCAATATCAGTTTCATTGCACTTCAACAACTGTTTTTGAAACGATGTTTGTTTTCTTTTGTTCAGATTCCTTCTGGTCGACTGTAGGTCTTAAGTGAAGTTGGAAATGCTTTTGAGATTAATATTATTTTTTCCTGTTACAAAAATAAATACTATTTTTTCCTGTTAGAAAAGTAAAGTTCTTACACAGGTTTTTGTACTAGGAAGACATGTAGGATTAAGGGCACTACAATTTGGATATTTTAAATGAAGGACTGAATAAATAGTCAGTGAGATCTGAATTAAAAAATCCTCAGAAAACAAGGCATGACACAAGCAGAGAAAGGTTCAGCATATCTCCAAGGGAAAGCCTTTATCCATTGGATGAGTCACTTGTCCATTCCACAGCCAAAATTACTCATCCCAGTGTACTTGACCTTTCTGAGGACCTAAGGAAATTTACCAGGATTGATTGTCATTCAAGGGAGAAGGGCTACTTTAGCCAATCAAAAGCATACATTGTGATGTTTTGCTATGCCTCTGTCTCAAATAAGAATAAGTTTGGATTGAGAAAATAACTGACAAAATATTCTCTTCCAAGTGGCCCCTGGAAATTTACCTTCTTGCATGTAGGCACAGATGAGATGTTGTGATTCAAACTCCAGGTTCCGGTTTAGTCAATT